AATGCTGGGCGGGAAGAAGATGCCAAGAGGAGCCCCTGGGATAGGCCTTCAGCTCCCAGCACTTTCAGGAGTTGGCACATCTGCTTATGGCCAGCAGGCTGTGGGCTGGCAGGGGCCCAGATATCTGCCCTCGTGATTTTGGCCATGTTGGAGGTGCCATATGTTCTTGCCAAGGGGGACACTGTCTCATCGTGTCTCTACACATATGTCTCTCATGGGCTGCAGTGGCCTATTTCTAACTTCCTTGTCCCCGGCCTCCTCCTAAGTCCTTTCTGGGTTCCCCTTTCCTGCTGGGCATGCCCAGGCACTTAGTAGGTGCTTGCTGAATTCCTGATTAATTGATGCCACAGGAGGAGAGGGGCTTGAGTGTTGCTGGTTCACCCCTTCGCCTCTGAGGGATCTGCCTGGTATTAATAGCTGGAACACAATCCCAAGTCACTGGCGACATTATAGATGGAAAGGTCTGACCATGACTCAGGCCCCCGACTCCAGTTCAGGTGGATGAATGTCCACCTTGGCTTAAAGGATGTCAAAGAAAAGGCGGTCTATAACATCCTAGTGCTTGCGTTCGACTTCTCGGTCATGCGGGAAGTTCTCTCCTGTTTCTGGAGAGGGGCACGTGTCTGGGAAGACTACACAGGGTCTGGGGTCAGAATGTTTTGGGCCCTGATCCCACCTTTGCCTGTTATCAGCTGTGTGACCTTGGGCAAGTCACCTTAATGCCTGCACATGGAGAAGATGTGACACATGAGAGGATGAGCTCAGAGGGCACGGTACAGAGCACATGGTCACTGCGTCGTGGCCGCTAACATCCCCTAGGGAGCCAGGCTCTGAGGAAGGATTCCATGGGCACATTTTCAAAAAGCTTCCCTCCCATGGCAGCAGGAGGTCCATCAGCCAGAAGAAAACACTTTTCCTGCTGCTTCTCTTTCTTTCAGGAAACAACAGGCAACACTAGTAATCAGGGTCTGAGTCACGGCTGTGGGGAGGTGCCCGATTTGCAACTGGATCTTGTGTGTCCCAAGAACTTTCAGACGGGGGATTAGATCCAGATTAGGACTCTCACTGACCGTCAAGAATTCTTTCTGTGTCAAAGCAAAGAGCCCCCTGAGTGTCAGCTTCAGGAACGATTTCCTGATGAGCGCCCCTGACATGGCTGTCCCTCTCAACCCGAAAATCACACCTGCGGGCGACATTTTCCGCCTCCGCTCACCTTCCCGGTTAAGGAGATGCTATAGTATTAATCCATTTCAAGGTTTTTGAACAAGCAGTTATAAATATGTAAGCCTCCTCTGCTTTGCCTATTAAGGAAAATGCCATCTAAGGTAACTATTTTGCCTCCACCTGACAGGAAGATTTACACGGAGGGCAGGATAACATTAACCTTTGATCAAATTCAGAACCCTTGAACCGAGATGGTTTTTCTCCATACCGCAATTATTCTTACGGCCCGATCTGCCAGGCGCCTGGGCTCTTCCTAGAAGGATGTCAGCAAAAGGTGGGACAGCATCACGCTATTACTGACTGAGTTTCTGAAGCTGTGCAGCTTATTTTTCAAGGGGGGTCAACTGGCACAGATTTCAGATAGATTTTAGTTCCTGCTTTTTTGCATGGTATCACCTCTTTCAAACTGAGGCCGGGGCCCTTGTCTGATATATTTCTGCACCCCTGGTAACACCATGCTTGGTATAATCAAGCATGCACGATGTTCTCCGAACAGGTGAATCATTGAGAGTTTGAGCAGCATTTAGTGTGGTGGCCAGTGCAAAGGTCTGGAGGCAGCCTGAGCCTGGGGTTGATGGCTGATTCTAGCTTTTCCTAGAAATGTGGCCTTGCACTACTACTTTCCTTTCAGGCACCTCCTCTGAAAGAGGGGCCTGATGCTATGTCCCTTACGGGGCTGGTTATGAGCTCTGAGGGAAAGTATATGAGTTCCTGGCACATAATAGATACTCAATAAATGGTAGAGTGCCTCCTTTGCTATTGCTTGCACGGAGGATATAAGGAGAGGAAAGAAGGCTTGCGGAAGCTGAGGGTATTCAGCGCCAGACCATGTTGCCTTGCATCCCTCTCTCTGACGGCGTGTTCCTAGCATCCTCTCCGACAGGTGTTCTCAGGATCCCTCCTTCTGAAAGCTTGTTCCCAGGTTCCTAGCATGGCTTGGCCAATCCCATACTGGTGCCACATTCTCTGGTAACTTCTCAATGGCAATCAACTTCTCAGTTCAAAGGGTCTTCCCAGGCCAACCTAGCCTTTGCTGTCCCCCAAAATGACCATGAAGACAGCAAAGGCCAGGGTCCGTCGGAGGGCCTGTAGCAGACGGCAGCAAGAAGCTCACCATCCAGTGTGGCCAATGAGGCGAGTGAACAGTAATGATGGAAGGACCAATGGGCCTCGGACAGAAAAATACTCCAAGTGACAGACCCTTAGAGAGTAGACCTCATTATCCCCATTTTACAGGTAAGAAAACTGAGGCATGGAATGTTTAGGTAACTCGACCAACGGGTAGAAGCAGTACTCAAACATGATGACTGTAGTTCTAGAAAGCACTCAGATGAAAAAGCCAATCTCAGAAAGTTACTTACTGTACAGTTCCATCATAGAACGTCCTTGAAATCAATGTATAGAATGAAAAATAGATGAATGGTTGCCAGGGGTCAGGGACGGGGTCAGGGAGGGATGTCAGGAGGGAGGTGGGTGTGGTGGTGAAACTGAACTTATCTTCCCTGGGGTGTTGGAAGTGAGAACCTACACATGTGATCAAGTCGCAGAGAACAAAACAAACATACACACAACTGAGTACAAGTTAAAAAAAAAAAAAAAAGGCCCAGAGTTACCAAGATCTGAGATGTGTTAGAAGTCTGCTTAGGTACACTTTAGAAGGTGGTGGGAGGTTATCAAATATAGTCAGACAGATGCTGTCACGGGTACAGTACAAGGATCCTTGTCCCTTCAAGCTGTGACTATGTTCATTTTACTCCATGAAAGGGACGTTTGCAGCTGTGACTAAGTCAAGGATTTTGAGATGGGGAGGTGATCCCGGGTTGCCTGGGTGGGCCCCATGTAATCACCGGGTCCTTATGAGAGGGAGGCTGGAGGGCTGGAGTGAGAAAAGACAGAGGGAGATTATAATGTGCCACACTTCAGGCACAGAGGATGGAGGGAGGCACCTCGCGCGCAGGACTGCAGGCAGCCCCCAGAGGCGGGGCAAGTCCAGGCAGTGGGCTCTGCCCAGAGCTTCCTAAGGGAGTACAGCCCTGCCCACAATTTGACTTTAACCCTGTGAGGCTGATTTTGGACTTCTGACCTCCAGAACGTAAGAGAATACATTTGTATTGTTTTTATCCACTAAGTCTGTGCTTATTTGTTATAGCAGCAATAGGAAACTAATACAATGAGGAACATTTAAAAAAAGACAATAAACTTCAATTATTTGCAAGACTCCATCTATGTGGAACACTGTTATCCCCGGTGATACCAGGTGGCTGAGGTGTTTGTGAACACAGGAAGCTATTTGTTTGAGCAGCAGAGACCTGGTCTTAATGAAGTTCAAGCCACCGTTGGTCCTGAAAATGCTGCCATCCCCTGTCACCAAGCTTCTACACCATCCACTGGGTGTTCCCGGAGCTGGCACAGCTCCCAGTCATTGCCTGTTGAATCCCCATCAGCCTGTAGATGGCTTCATAAGAAACACGGCATTGGTAGGGGGCGGGCGGTGTTTCTACCGTAAGATCTCTCTATTCATGTTTGAAAATAGAACTATTTAAGCTCATACTACAGCTGGAGATACTAATGTGTGAGCTCTTTTGGGAGGAAAACCTCAACATATTACTTATCAAGATGACATAATACCTTTGGCTGTGTAATTCAGAATTTAAGTTTCTAAGTAAATAGCCTATTTCCACACGGTCTAGGAATATAACAAACAAAAAGCTCTTAACAAAGGAATATAAATTAGTTTCCCTTTTGGGACAATGGCTACTACTGAGGGTTTACTAGGTGCCAAGCATTGTATTAGGCACTTTAATCCACTCAGCAATTCCACATGGAGCTTATCATCATTCCCAACTCGCCACTGCAGAAACGGGTGCCGGGAGGTTAAGCATCTTGCCTGAGTTCCCACCCTGCAAATAACAGAGTCAGGACTGAAGTTCACATAGGTCTGTTTTCTAAGCTCGTATTTTCTGCTTCTGCTGAAACTGTACCAACTGCTTCTGAGTGGGGACAACATGCTGAATAAATACCATAAAAGCCATCCACAGCTAACATGAGAGCTCTGCCAGGGGCTGAAGCCTGGCCTGACTTTGAATCCATTACTCTGCAGCATGCTGGAGCCCAGCTGGCAAAGGCTGTTTAATCCACAGGGCTGTGTGTGGGGCGAAGGCTGGCTACACAGTGATCCCAGGGTACAGCCCATTCGATCACGGGCATTAGGAAGCTTCATCAAATAGGATGCAAATCACTCAATGTGCATTATAACAAAGACAAAGCAGTATGGCCTCTCTGTAAACATACAAATCTCAGAACCACCTTGCTTATAACCACACAGATACGTTCTTCCCAGAATAGATGCCACGGTCAAGTCCAGTGTGTCATTTAGAGCACTGATCACTCTGATTCCCCTAAAAAGCCATCACTGGAACCGCCTTCTGACCCAGTTTTTCCACGAAGAACATTTTCACAAGCAAGGTCCCTCCTTCTCTGCCCAGCAAGGGTGTTCCTTAGGTTGTTCTGACCATGACCATAGAGGAGACACATCATTCCAGGCAACCAGCTTACGTGTGCATGTAAGGAAAACAAACATTCCGATAATGAGACATACTGTGTGCCACAAGCAGTCATACTTTCTTTTTCTGTTCTGCTCTGTTTAGTCTAGTTTAGTCCCTTTTGCTGTTACGGCCCCACCCAGCGACTCGCGAATGACTCCTGACCCCACAAGGGAGCTGTGGTTGCAGCTTGAAGGCGCTGGTCTAGAAAACAAGGAGGATGGGGGTCCCTACCTCCGGGGCGATGTAATCTGGGGTCCCACAGAAGGTTCTGGTCGTGACTCCGTCCATCATGTGCTCCTTGCACATCCCGAAGTCAGCAATCTTGATGTGCCCTTCGGAGTCCAGCATGACGTTATCTAACTTCAGGTCCCTGCAAGGAAGTGGTACAGCGTCAGGACCCTTGGCACAGTGTGGCTTGCTCTGGAGCTGGTGAGACACAGGATCTTTGACTAGCTGCCATCTCCATGGCATCTGAACTGCAAGACCCAGGAGAGTCGGGACCAGGAGTTATTATTATTACTCTCTAGAGCCTAAGGTAGTGCCCAGGATACAGGAGGTACTTCATAGACACATGTTGAAGGAAAGACTCAGTGACTGAACTAGCAATGCCCAACCATGGCCCCACACGTGAATGACCAGAGATTCCAGTTTAGCAGGTCTGGGTCACACACATGTCCTTTTTGTCACTCTCCATTTAATACGGGAAGATGTTGCTCTTTCTTTGGCACCAGACTTGCACTAGAGCTGACAACCAGGAGAATTTAATCTAGTTTTCCCCTTGCCCCTCTTCCCCAGTTCCCCATGTGTTTATCCAGCTGAGCATCTCACAGAAATTCAGTTTCTGTCGCTGCCTGACCTCCCTTCCAAATAAAAGGCAGAGCTGGGAGGTGTCAGTGGAGAGAAAAGCATGTTTTCTTGTGGGAACCAGAAATGAGATGACTCTTTCGAGGCCCAGAGATCAGAAGGTGGTTCTGATATCCCAGAGGGTCCCAGCAGGTCGCTGCTGCCTTGGGGGTTATCAAGTCTGTGTCTGGCGTCCCCATCACAGAATTACACGCCCCAGAGACCCAGGGGCCCAGCCACACGCTCTGCTGCAACGGATGGTGGGGGAGCTTCGCTACGTACCTATAAATGATTCCTTTTTTATGAAGAAAGAACAATCCAATGGAAATCTCTGCTGCATAGAATCTGCAAGAGAAACGCTCATCAGGCTTCGCTGGACTTCTGGAGACTTCGTAACCCCATCCCCGCTCTCCCTGCAATTCAGGCGCCAAAGAGGTAACACAATGCAAGACCTGGGACTCGCGGGGGTTAGCACTGCCCCAACTTGTTCTTTCAACCCTTCACCCCGCCCTCTGCCTTTTTATTACTGCAACTTCTCCTACGAACGATACGGCAAATAAAATCAATGAGATGAGTTTATTTCCTGCCCAGAAACAAGCACTTCTTGTCTGGGGCAGGTGGACAGGTAACTTACTGCTTAAGGGAAATTCCTAATACAATCTTTTAAAAAGTGGCTGTTGGACGCCTCTCAGCGAGGACTAGGGCAGAGTACATTTCCATTTTCCTACTCCTGAGCAGAATACATTAGTGTCTGAACACACAATTATTCCCTGGAAGACAGAGTACAGTGTGCGGTGAACTCTTCAGCTGGATTCCTCATCCCCCACCTCGACCCCGAGCGCCAGGATAAACGGCACACTGTGATTTGTACTCGAGTTTACCCTTTTGAATAATTCATAATAAAAAGCAGTCACTGCCATTATTTCAAAATCATTTATAGGTTACTATCTGAAACTCAGTATAAATGTTGAAGGATGTTTCAAAATCTGTATTGTACTTAGGAGTCTTTGAAGTCTGAGAAGCCATAAAACTGCCCGGGTGAACGTCATACCCAGGAGGCTTAGAAGAAGCCCAGTGTCTGCATGAGCAAAGAAAAGCCCTTGATGACAAGGACCAAGCTCTTGTTGGAAGGGTGGGGAGGCACCACCTCTGAGGGCTGGAGGGACAGGGAAGGGATCACAGAGGAAAAAGAAGTGGGGTTCTAAGCAACTTTTACATTATTTTTCATGCTTTCCTATCCTTTAAAAAATAATGCCTTTCTGGCAAGACAAATACAATGAAAGGGGACTGAGCCTTTATGTTACTTTATACCACAAGGAGGCTAGTCTGTCACTTGGTCTTTAGCTCTGTGTCACCCAGCTTTATTTGACAATCTGTGCATGTTAATGCTTTCTGACCGACAACAGGAGAGAGGGGATAAGGGCAGGCATTTCTGGACACTGAAAAGGAAGAAAACAGAAAAAACCCTGCCTTCACATTTTTTCATCTCACTACCAAAGAACCCCTGTCAGCCCCTGGTCATCTTTCCCCAGGACAGGCCCTCTGCACAGATTTATCTTTCCCACTGACTGTGGGCCAGAACCCCAGCCTCTGCACACCTTACTCACCAGGGCGCATGCACTGAGCATCTCGAGGAGGGAAATGAAATCGCTATTTGCTTAGATTTGTTCCTGTTGAGTTTCCTGGGCCTTCCTGGCCCCTGAAAAATGGGATGATTTTTCAGGTACCCAAGTCCTCAGAGCCCCAGCTCTGTCTCCGATGTAACTGACTCACATCGCAGCATCCAAGATGCATCCCAAAGACATCTTCAAACAAAGCTCCCTCTTCTCCCTCCAAACCACCCCCTCCTTGGGGGCTGTCCTCCCAAACCTAACATGGGGCATCACCTGAAGAGGTTTCTCTCTTCTCGCCCCCTGGTCACAGGGTTCTGGTTCTCTTTCTTCACATGGGTCCTCAAAGACACTGACTCCCACAGCTCCACCCTTTCTCCTCTCTGTAGATTTTCACCAGCCACATATTCCCTCCCATCCATCCTTCTCCTCTCGGTCAGAGGGCTGTGTGAAAACTTAGTCTGGTGCTGATCAAGGCCCCTGCGGAGGCTGACACCCCACCCAGCCTTCCTGCTTCTCAGCCAGACACTGCGAGCCTGTCACCCGCAGCCCCTACTCCACTGCCCTCCACATCTCACTCCGTCTTCCTAACCTCTGGGAGGGGCATTCTCTGAGGACAGTCTTCCCTCACTCCCTGTTCTTTGGGGCTTTGAGTGGTGTCTTGTATCACCGCTAAAGTTACGGCAACGCATTTCTATTGTCTGGTGACCTCTCCCTCCAACCCCCCAGGTCACAAGATGAGCTCCGCGAGGGCAGGGGCCGCTCAGTCCTTCCACACACCATGAATGAGTGGCTGGCTCACTCCAGCTCCAGTTTACAGGATGTGGACTAAACCTCTCCTTAGGGAACACTGAGAGGGACCCCAGCAATAAATCTGCCCCCCACCGCAGGTTACCGCGCTCCCCCGGAAGTGGGCTTCCGCCGGAAGTGGAAGTGGGCCAAGCCCACCGCTCAGGTCACCCAGCAGGAGCTGCCCACTGGGACTGCTGCGGGTCTAAACTAAGGGATTTAAACAAACACTCACACTGCTTGTGGCTCCTTAAATTTTCCTACTTGCTGAATGTGGTACATGAGGTCCCCGCCGTTGACGTATTCCATGACGAAGTACAGCCGGTCCTGCGGGCCAAGGTGAGACAGGTGAGCTGAGCTCCTCTGTGGGCGGAGCAGCACCCCTCACTCTCCCAGACCTGAGTCTGCTTTCTTATTAGTAAAATGTGGGCCTCAAGGACCTGTATGCTCAGTGCAGCCCTTCTGTGTGTTTGTTCCCAGGTCGGCCCCCTTCTTCCTGTTACACGAAGGGCCTCAAACGGCCTTCTTGTTTCTCCTACATACATAACACATTTCTAAGCCAGGGACAATGTGAAGGATCCTTCACATGGACCAATTATTTATTTTTAACTGGTGTTTCTGATTTGCAACGTCTAGGAGGCATGCGAGAGTAATACAGTAATGTGTTTAACCGGATGCTTCTGAAAACAAACCTCAGGCTCAATGACATTTCCTGTGGGGGAGGGGACAGTCAATGGAGAGGCTAATCAAATGTTCTTTTGCATCCATAATATGCCCAAATATGGTTTTTGACATCCTCTGACACTGCTATGCTAAGTGTTGGCACCAAGAAGGTCATATAACACAGAACCAAATAAATGTGCATATTTATGAGGACATTATGCTGGGCCAGGTGGGAAGACAGAGGGGGTTCAACAGTGAAATAAGTAACAGCACAGCACACCAAGGCAACAGCTGACCTCTGCTCTCTTGTAGAAAACACCACCATTTCACAGAGGTTATTACACCTTCGAGTGCTGCTCAGGGAGGGGAACAACGATGAGCTGCAGCTAGCAGGCAGGAAATGGCTCTGGGAGCTTCAGTCTCTGGCTTCCCTGTTATGAACTTTAATTTCATCTTTATTTCTCTGCTTTGTAGCTTTCTGGAGCTTAATCAGTGTAACCAGGGTTACAGGATCTGGGCTGGGATTCAAGATGTGGTTCTCTCCCATTGTACTGCTCCTCTCTCCTGGGCGCTACTTAGATGCCGCTGGGAGCAGGGAGCAGCCGGGCCACCAGCGCTCGGCTGACACGCAGTGGCCTGGCCTGGCTCTGCAGCCCCCCCTCCGTCTGAGACTGTGTGGCTGCACTGCCATTTTGAGATTCTAAAATCCAAGAGCACTGAGGGCCATTTCCCAACAGATTTTAAAGGGAGACAGAAAGCAGAAAGTCAATTTCTGGCCAACGGGAAGATGAAGATAGTAATAACCACAATAGTAACAATTATAGCTGCTGATTATTGCCTCATATGTTAGAAGGACGGCAGCTGAGGAGTGGAAAGCCCATCTTCGGGAATGCCTCACCTTAGCGCCCTCTCGGCGCCTTCTTGCCTTTACATTCTTGCAGACCACATGCGAGCACCAAGCCAGGGCTCTGGCCCCACCACTAGCTGATTAGTGTGCTGGAGTTTTCTTCATCCTCTGCACAGTTCGACTATATGACAGGGCTAGGAAACTTTTTCCTTAAAGGGCCAGACAGTCAATATTTTAGGCTTTGCGTGTGTCTTGCAAGCACTCAACTCTGCCTTCGTAGCGCGAACGCAGCCATCGGTGACAGGTAAGTGAGCGTGGCTGTGTCCCAACCCAACTGCTTAGGACTCTGAGATTTGAATTTCATCTGATTTTCCTATGCCATGAAATATGATTTTTATTATTTTTTAAACCTTTCTTAGAGCTCATGGGCTGTACAAAACAGGCCAGATCGCCAACCCCTGCTGTGTGCACGGAAAAAGAACACACTCTTTCACAAAATTGAGTCTCCTCGTGTCCCAGTGCAACGCTTGGCAGCTGGCACGCTGGCCTGGGAACAACCGGCTCTGGGAGTTATTTTATTTTGTGTCTCTAAGCCTTAGCACATTGCCTGGCACGAGGAAAACCTTTGATATAAACGTTTGCTGAATTAAATGGAATTAATGCCAAGTCTCTAAGTAGGGCACATCACAGGGAGGGGACGCTCCACATTTACCAGTGGCACATGATGGAGAGGTTGTCCCTAGTCACCTCTGCATGGCAGAGAAGACTCCGGGGCTCAGCAGTCCCCAGGTGATGCCTTCCTCCAGCCTTCTCAGCAGGAATAAAGCTGACTCAGATGCTGAGAGCATCTGGGTTCAGGGTGTCCTGTGAGCACACTGTGTGCTGAGCCGCAGCTGTGCACCCCAGGGTCCTTACCACTGTCTGGAAGCAGGAGTGTAGCTGCGTCAGGAACGGAGGCTTGTCAAGCAAGGCCAGGACGCGTTTTTCCACCATGGTGCACTCCACGTCGTCATCTTGAATCACTACGTCCTTCTTCAGGATCTTGATGGCATAGAGTTCTTCTGTTCCCTTCCTGTCAGCCAGCATCACCTGAGGACAGAAGAAGGGGAACCTGAAATGGCTAGGCATTTTGTCTGGTGACAGTTCAGACAGTGTGTGCAAATGTGGAGATGTGTGATATAAAAATAGTCATACGTTCCACCTCCTGTGCAAACTGTGAAATACTGCAGGTCACTGCATGTTAAATTCCTCCTGTACTGTGGAGTTTCAAAGGCAGCAGGATCTGTACACTGTGCACACACGATGGCGCTGTTGTGGCCACTAATTGGAATATGCAATGTTATCGGCGTTAGGGTTGAATCGTGCATTTTTCATGGGCATCCTTAGGGCAAAAATGTGACTGACCTTTATAAGCATCTCACTAGTCAGGAACCACGACAAAGTAATGGGAAGGACAGAAATCAGTTCCTGGATTTATGGTGAGACTTGGGACCAGAAAAGCCAAATGCAGACGTACAGGCTGAAGAAACCCAGTTCGGTCTCTTGTAATTACTACATTCATGTACTACAAGTCAACATTTAATTTTCAGTTGTGAAAATTATGCATTTAATCAACACTGCGGAACGCCCATTCTGCTCTGAACACTGACATGGCTGCACAGTGACCCTTCTAACAGCTTTTTGGATACAGTTGTTTTTAATGAAATGAGAAACATGGGCAGAGAGCAGGGAAACCTAAAGGGCTGCTCTGGAAACTTAAGAACAGGACGACCCCAGCATGCTGTGCGAAAGCCTGGCCATGTCACAGGCCTCGGCCCTCCTTACCTTTCCAAAACTCCCCTTCCCCAGCACCATGAGGAAATTGAAGTCAGTGAGTTTCACTCTGTCAAGGTTGTTGGAAAATCTCCTGTCTTCTGAAGGACTGATTACTTTCTTGGTGGGGCCAAGCTTGGCTTTCTAGACAACAGACAGACAGGTGAAAATGATCAGTCATTTTTTTGCCCAGGGGAATGATTGATAGAAAACGTGGTAACGACGCTTGATGCCAGCTGGGAGGTGGGAGGTGGGAGGTGGCATGAGGTGAGAAAAGGAGCCGGAGGGTGACACAGCCATTCCTACTCAGCGGTCATACTCACCCTGAGGCAGCGTTTGCAAAGTGCCAGAACACTGCCCTTACCTATGAAGAGACAACTCTTTAAGTAGCTAATCAAGAATCAAGTCACGGGACTCTGCCAAGGGCAGGCTGATTCTCATTCTGGGATGTAAACGTTAACTTCCTGGGGAAACCAGGGCTTGGCAACAGTTAACGTAATAAAAGAGATAAACTACGCACTGATGTTTTTCTTCTTTGTAGATTTTCCAATTTAAGATTAATCTGCAGAAAGGAAACTTGTGCCCCTGCAAAGAGGGAGGACAGTGTCCTCGGGAGAGGACCTGCTTCAGTGGCGAGCTATGGGGATGATTTATCGCTACTTGAAAAGGCACTGTAAGAAGAACAGAGTGGTTTTTTTTGTTTTTTTTTTTAAGTTATGAAAAGAAATGGTGATATGCCGAGAATCTGGTTTCACAACCTGGAAACACACATCGCCCTTTGAGCCTGAAGAATACGTGGTCAGCGATGTGAATTACCAGGAGTTTTTATAAATTAGACTTGGGCCACACACTGGCCCCAGGGAGACCACACCCTCTTATGGGGGAGTCAGTCTCATGTTACAGGTGAAAAGCAAGAGGGCTCAGCAGGAAAGGAGAGGCAACTGGGATCACAGGGGAACATCTCCACTGTCAGCAAAGCAGCCCGTGGAGAAAGTGGGGGAGCCCTGAGTGGGTGGAAAAGCTCCTCCAGAGTGCGCATTTTGAAATTGGCCTGACAGTGAGGGAGCCAGTTGCTGGACATGTCAGCGGCTGAAAAGACCGAGGTCCAGGGCGCTGGCCAAACCCCTGCTGCCACAGCCCTGGGCCACAGGGCCAAGAGTCTAGCTCTGAATACATTCTCAATGAGAGGGTGCACCCCCCCCGCCCCAATGCAGCTGATGTGACCAAGTGCAGTTGAGCTTCAGGGCCGGGCCAGAGTGGCACTGAAATCAATGTGGTTACCAAGAACATGGCGTAGGAGGCACAGGAGGCATTCTCAGTGCTTTATTCGACAGTCAAAGCCCTGGCAATGCCGGGTCTTAGCCCTTGGGGAGAAATGGGCGCGCTGCTTTGTGCCAGGCTCTGTTGAAGGCGCCGGACCCCCACGGGCCATCTCTGGATTCCCAGCCCTAACACAGCGGTTGGCATGGTGTGCACGCAACAGTTTGGTTGACTGAATAAAGAAATGAAGCCACTTGTGTTCATCAGAGGCCGTGCTATGAGGCGATGCGTTCCCGTGATAAAAATAACTGGTCTGTATGGGGATCAAACCTCACGGCTTGAGTGCCTGCAGGGGTGAAGTGAGCACACCCAGCTGAGCGGAGGCATTAAAGCGCAGCGGAAAGACAGCCCGACTCCTCTGCCTCAAGGCCGAAAGTATTGAATACAGTTGTATTGTGCCCCTATTGGCAGTGCATGGAGGGAATCTTGGGGGCTGGGGGCCGCTGGGACATCTATGCTCTGTAAAGGCAAAGCCTGAACTTCAGTGACACGTAAACTAGCCTCCCCTTTGACAGAGGATGGGAGGCATTTTAAGACAGACTTGCGAGAAAGAGCCAGGACGTGGGTTTCTTCAGAGCCTTCCTCAACTTCAGGACCAGCCCCCAGTCCTCCAAACAGCTGCTTCAGAACAATGCCAAGTTGAGAAACTTTCCAGTTTGCATCTAACTCTAAATGAATAATCGGGAAGTTCAAGTGTGAGGTGAGAATACCGACTAAGCCACTCTATCCTGCTCTTGTGGCTTTTAAAGAGGAAAAGTAATCAGAGGGAGGCACAAAGAGGTTACTTTTATGTTGTCGGGAACTCCACAGTAACAACTGAAAAGACGCAAACACAAGGCACTTGTGGCTCTGGGCCGCTGGACGCAGCTGCAGCGCGCTCTCACCTGTGGAGCTGACTGTGGCTGGGACCGGACGACCTGACCCATTGGCAGTCTTGAAGTCACACTGCCCTCAGCACTCTTCAGTGCCGCAGGCCGTGTAGGAGGGACCGCGGGCTGGTATGCGTGGCGGCCTCCAGAACAGAGATGTGCTTTTTCACCCAAGCACCTTTTGCCAGCATGTGGGGCCATAACCCAATGAGGGCTCTGTGAGTTTTGTGCTATGACCTTAGTCTAGTTCTCTGGTACACGATATCCCCCACAATCAGGCTAAAGGGATATAAATGAAAAAAAAAAAGCACTTTTGCATTTTGGCACTTCTGAACTCAGCTGCAATGTGACCTTAAACTTTGCTGTGAATCAACCTGTGAGGCTGGGGAGGAGCAGCCACAGAGGAGACTCCTGCTCACAGGAAGCAAGGCCAGATGGACGGTCAGAGCAGCCCAGGGTCCCTTTGCAGCTACCCTGCCAACGGGAGGGGCAGTTCTTCCACGGTCCCTTACAGAATGTGCGTCCAGAACCACCTGCATGCTGTTGCCTGCTGGCCTTGCTACCCAAGGGCACAGAGCCACCTCCAATGCCAAGTTTTCAAAAGCAGCTCTTCCGAGGTAAAAAAATTCCAGGATATCAAATTCCCAGGGGTCTGGGCCTCCCTTGGGGCAAGTCCCTTTGTCAGCCTGGGTCTAGTAAGAGATGGGATTGGAGGGGGCAGCCAGGACCCTGTAGCAGCTGTGTCTCTGGGGGCCTGTGGGCAGGGAAGGCAGAGGACCCTCCAGGCAGTGGTCCCCACAGCCCAGGCCTCGGCCTCCTGTCCACTTTCAGTACCACCTTTTCTTGCCCATTCCTGATTCCTTGATCCTTCACTCCCCTCCCAGCCGCCAGAGTGCAATCCCCTACCCACCGCGGCCCATCCTGCCGGCAGTAGTCCCTTGACCTTGACCTCCTGGCCGACTTCCCTCCCTGCCCCAGGCTCCAGCTTACCTGTCATTTCTTCAGAGAACCCCTCCCCTAAACTTCCTGCTCTTCTCCCTCACCTGGCCTCTTCTTCACGGCTCATATGGCAATTTGTAAGTGTTTATTTATAGTGTGTTTATTTGTTTAATGCCTCTTTCATCCTCACTCTACAGCTAACCTAGTGGCAGGTAGGCCAAATCCACCTTCAGGTTATATCCAGAATCGGCCCTCTTCTCAGGGCCTCCTTCACTGCCTCTTGGGCCCCAGCTCTGGGCCCTCCTTCTCCTTCAGGCTGTTCCCACTTCCATGTTGCCCCCGCCCCGGGAGGATCCTGCTCTATGATCCTCTGGCTCCCCACCTGGAGGCGAGACAAGGCCGAGTCCTTGCAGTGGACAAGGAGGAGACAGATTCTTGGCTGGGCTTGGGCTCTGACCTTAGCCTCCCCTCCCCCACCCCCGGCCCTCTGTCCCAGCCACACCAGCCCCACTCCTGCTTCGGGGCTTTGGTCACGGGGGCCATGCCTCACGTCGGCCCACAAAGCCCAGCTAAGTCATCTCCTCTCAGTTTCCCTGATGCCTCCTGCATCCTGCAATTCCCAGCCTGTGGCAGACACTGTTTGTGCCCCGCCCGCACCCCCTGGCTTTCAGCTTTGCACACCTGTGCCCACCTGAGGCTGCCTGAGAGGCACTAGGGCCGCTCCTGCAGAGCCTGCCCCACAGCTATGGTGCAGGGCTTCCCGGTGTGCCCACCGTGGTGACCGGCTGGATAACTAGCGCACCCCGAGCTGGCTTCCTCCCTGCCTGGGTCATATCCCGGGCACCCCCTGGGGTCCCTTCCCACATGAACTCCTTGTTCTCAAACCCTTGTGGCAGAACATACCTTCCTCTTGGATTTACTGATCTGTCTTCCTTATAGACTGTGAGATCCTGGAAGGTAGGGGCCGCCTCACGCATCTTTGTATCTTTAGACCAAGCAGTTCACCGGGTACAGGATTACACACTCACTGAACATCTCATTCATTCGTTCATTCATTCGTTCTGAAACATTTGACTTCATTAAACACTAGGACTGACAGAATTTGAGGCCAAATCATGGAAAGTATAGTCAGCCCATAGCCAGCACTCGTCAGGCAGATGAGGTATTAGTACAAAAAAGCGCTTGTTACTAGGTGGGTGCTTTCAGAGCTCGGCCCCCAGGGCTCTGCATTTGGGCGTTCACATGTTAGCGTGTCTCCTTCCCACAGCAATCACTGGTCATGCCAGGACAGCCGTGGTGTGGGGCGGGGGGTGGCGGCGTAGGGTGGCTCTGCTTTCAGGGAGGCCGGCCACGCTGTACCGTCCCCAGGGGGCACACGGGCTGTTAGCTGGGCCAGTGAGCCGAAGCCATGCCCTTAGAAGGGTTTCTCTGAAGGGATCCTCCTCAGATGAGAGGTCCTGCCGCGACCCAGCTGCGGTCTCTGACTGAGGGGCGACAGTGAGCCTCTGACCTGACCATTTCTTTCTTTGATTGTTTTACTGAGCTGTTTGGCAAATGGTCTCCCTGTAGGGCAGAGACGCCTGCTCTTCCTGGCTTGCAAACTGTTGACCTAACTCAGGTTGTCATGACTGTAACCAGACTTCTGGAGTGCAAACAGAATCAGTGTATGTGGAGGGATGGAGCCGAAGCTGATGGCCTAACCAGAGGTTTGGGCAAACCCAGGCAGGCATCAGAATAAAAACAAGCCTGCTGGAGCCTTCATTAGAGCAATGCAAATACTGACCTACACAACCCGGGATTCGAACCACAGAGAAGGGAGGACAGGATGTCTCTGGAAGACTGATAGAACATCAGCTGGGGCTGGGGATCTAAAGCCCATAACTGTCCCCGGTAATGCTGTTGCTGATAAATCCCAAGTCTTGCGTTCCGCCTCACTCATCTTCAACAGTCAGGTAAGCAGAGCTGATGGAGCACCAGGCTCGGAGCAGCAGCCGATGGGATGGAGGTCCCGGCTTG